AGCCAGAATGTTTGCTGTACCCTCGTGTCTGTTTTTGGTCAAAACAGTGGCATGCTTATTATAGAAGACAAATTTTAATACTACGCACTAGTTCGTCACTGCGTGCAAAACACGAGCTTTCAGAACTCTCAAAGAATAGCCCATAAAAAAGGAGTGCAAGGAAAATGTGGCTTTTCTTGTTGTACTTGGATAAATCCAACACTGGTACCGTTAACCTCTTGAGAAAGAATTCCATTTCAGGTCAGATTATTTTAGAGGCATTTTGTGTGCTCCTGCAGAAGGGGTGGTTTGCTTCTGTTTGCCTTCTTGTGGCTTGCTGGTCGATAAGGGCATTTCTGGAGATGTTTGACACTAATCTGTCATTGCACAACAGGAAACAGTTAAAGTTTTTCAGATGTACTGACCTTTCTGCTCGTTTCCAGCACAGTAGCCACTTATGCTCTCGGTGCTTAGGGGAGAGGTGGCACTCGCACTGGAGTGTGTCACTGGCTGCAGTGCATGCTCCTGGGTAACACTCCTGGGCCTTTGTCCAGTCTGGAGTCTTAGTTTTTTAGTTTTGTGTTCCCTCCTTTTTCTGTATCTCTGCAAAAAAAAAAGCAAGTGTACTGAGAAACACTGTCTTTCAAATGAAACCTTTGTGTGTTATTATTCCTCTTATCTGTAAGGTGTTTTTTCTTGTGGGACGAGGGAATTCTGCTTTCTGACTTCTTGAAACATTGGTAAATCTGATAGCAGATGTCTTTCCAGGGGAACAAGTGGAGAGAAAAGATTTCAGGTGGGCTGGGATGTTCCTGGGGCTGGCTGAGTTACAGCGTTGCTGCTGGGAAAGCAATTTCTATTTGATGTTAGTTCCTCTGAGACCTGACAGATTTGTAAGCCGTAGCCTTTAACTTTTGCTTTGATTGTGGTGCAGAGTGCTGAGACGAGGTTTTGTTCTCAAAACGGAGAGAAAGGAGCAAGAATGAAAAGTGTGTAAGGAGGCAGGGGAAAAAAAATCAAGGCCAAGTATAATTCCAGCCAGCAGGAAGGATGTAACTGAAAACTTGAGTTACTAAGTAAAGTTTAAAGATTAAAAAATAAAAAAATCCTTGCTGAGGCCATGTTAGCGTGGGGTGAGATAGCAGACCTTCTCAGATGCAACTCCTTTCAGTTTCTGGTAACGTGTGGCAGTTTTGGTGGCCTTAAATGGCTGGAACACAAATCTCGAGGCAGTGGGAGTTTATTGGGAGAGGAGCCTTCCAGTTAAACTGGCTCAAGGTATAGTGAGGCTTGGAGCTGCTGTCCTCCAACTTGAAAGCCCTATGGAGATGGGTGGATTACTGTGCCAACACGAGCTCTGTCTTGGAAAGATGCTGGGGAAATGTGTCCGTGCCAAGTGGAATATGGCACCTCAGGATTCAATTGTTGCTTTCACATAGCAATTGGACTTCCTAAATTCCCTCAGCCCCAGTCTGGACATGGAGTCACTAGCAGTGGAATTATTATGGAAGAATCTCTTGCTGCTGTTATCTGTTCCCTCTGTTCCTCCACAGGATTTTTGTCAGTTAGTCTCTGCTTCGCTGTTTCCTCCAAAGGGAATTACTTGAATCCAGCGGCTTGAGAGAGTTAACCATATAAAACAAACTGTTGTGTAGGTGACTGAATTAATCTATCCTGTATCTCTCCACCAGCATTCCTGCTGGACGAGAGATGGCATATGCTGTGGCCAGTCTGGAGCCACATGTTTCTTGATTTGTTTGGCAGGCTCAGGCTATATACATTAGCAAGGTTTTTACAGCATATGTTTCTGTTGGGGACTAATTTTAGTTTTTAGTTGTGTGTTGTTTTTTTACTGTGCTCACTTGCTGATTTTCATTAAACTTTCAAGAACCTAAAAGCTGTAAGAAAACAGTCTCAAACTAAGGTGATGTTGGACCACACACTCAAAAGTTTGATTGACCGGGTACTAGCTTTGAAAATACATAATATTACATTATTACATTATTATGTATACATAATACGTAATAATATTGCTCTGGTGGATCTTGGGAGCCTTGGGGTGGATTTTGGGGGGGAAATCCTAGTGAGAGGAAAAAAAAAGTCTAGAATTTTGAATGCTAAAAGCAGTAAGAAGGCAGCCTCACTACTTTAGTTGCTACAAACCAGTCTTAAGGGGTTGGGGCAATCAATCTCCATACATTTTTGGGACTTCTAGTGGTGTGATTCTGTAGCTCCTTTAGCTGTCAGAATCTTCCCTGATTTTGCCTGTCGCCACATTCCACTTAGAATACTGTTTTATTAATATATTTGCCTTAAACTTGTCATGGTCATTGTGTGTCGTTCATAGTTCTGTTTTGTGTAGTTCCTGTTGTTACCCTTTTTTTTTTTTAACTTGGAAGTGGCCAATTGCTTTGAGACCAGCAATTAAAATGCCTGTAAAATGTCTTTGAATTGGAGCAAGTGTTGGTGCTGAGCAGACTGTGAAAACACACAAGTTGAAACATTTCTTATAAGGTTCTTAGCTTTTTGAAAAATGATTACACAATTCAGGAAATTAAATGAGGCATTTCACACTGAAAATAACAGGGTTTAAATAGTGGCAAACAAAGAGAAGGGGAAATAAGATGAGGAAGAAGAGTCGGGAGGGGAAAGGAACACACACAAAGAAAAAGATTATGTCCTGTCTTAATATTTCAGAGGAGATGCTGACCCTGGGAATTATTAACATATCTAAGCCCTAAGTTCTATCAGTGCAAGAAATGACCTTACTAAGTAATTCTGGAAAGAATTCTGAGGAGTTCTGTCCTCCATTGTATCCTCAGCTGCAACACAGTTTTGTGGGAATGAATGAAAATTTTCTGTGTGAAAGCTATTACTTTCTGATGTTTGAAACATCTGATAATGTGAATATAAATTGATTGTTGCCGTATTATGCTTAAAATGCAAGGTGTAAGGGTCTCTTGTTCATCACTTAATATTTTATTAATAATGTAGCATCACCTGAGACCTGCTCAGGGCTTGAGAGCTGCTTGTTAGTTGTCAAATGTGTAGAGGAAAAGCTCTTGATGCACGGTTTGGCCCTAGAGCTCCGTGTCCTCACAGGTCACAAAGTGTTAGTGACTTTGTTTGAATTGCATCTCGAGATGCTGTTTCTTCTTGCAGCACACTGTGTGCCAGCATAATGGTTATTACAAAGTGCTATACATTTTAACTGGGAAACTTAGAATCTACATACTGCTGATTTGCAAATATGTTTACCTCACTTTTCAGCTGTTTAGAACAAAATCTGGGAAACTAGACTTTATGGCTTAAAGTTTTGTTAAAAGCTTTATTGCAGAAAAAAAGAGACTGGGGAAGGTCATCTTGCTGGATCCTTTGCCTCCAGGTATTATCACCTAAGCCTGAATCTTTAGCAGGTATTGGCATTGCTAAGAGCTTTCAGCAAGAGGCCTGTTGTAAAAGTAGTCTCTAATCTGTTGCTGTAAATGCATGAGGCTTACAAAAAAGAACTATTCCATTATGTTTTTTTCAATAATTCTGTGTCAAATACTTCTGCTAACCCTTAGTAGGCTTTTAGTATATACGTTGGTGGCTTTAGTACCTCCGATATTCAGTAAGACTTTTAATGATTTATTTAATAATTGATCTGTAGCTTTGGCATCACTTAGAGCTTTGCGAGAGATGACAGACAGATGAGTAGAGTATATTTAGTTGCTTAATCACCCTTATCTGTGAATTTTGTAGGTGAAGAGCAGCATGAAGGAATGGAGCTAGTGAGGGACCCTCTTCTAGAAAATTACCCCCCTTAGTAGAAAACTGGAAAAAGCTTTAATTAACCTATTAATTCAATACTTAAGTGTCTGCAAAGTGTTTTCTGAGCAGTAACAGTTATTACCTTTCATAATTGTGCGCAGTTCTATGGACCTTATATTTACATCTATTTCCCTGTTAGCCAATAGATTTAGTTTCTCAGCCTGTTTCCCCCTGTCCTGAAGCTTTTATTAGTGCATTTACACTGTACAGCTAAGTGCAATTACACTTTGACACCACTTAATCATCTGAAGTGGGTGTTAGCCTTTTAAGCTTGAGAAACGATCCTCAGTGCCACAAAGATTCTGAGCGCTGAGTCTCAGAGGTTCTGGAAGGGTTGCTGTACCCCTTCTTGAAGCTCTCTGCTGCAGCAACTATCCTCTGGGTTTATTTATCCAGGAAAAATGGTTCTCACTGTTTGTTTCTGAGTTTGGGCTGCTCCCACGTTGGGGTGATGTCTCCGTTTCGTTCCCTGAAGCAGTTTCTGGGTTAGTAGAAAGACAACTGGGCTTTTTGAAAAAGACAACTTAGAGATGGAAACCTGGGAAGTCCTAAAAGTAAAGAATTCAGTCCTAGTCAGATACAGCAGAATAACAGGAGTTGTCCTCATCTAGTCTTGTTTTAAATACTGTTTAGCCTTTGATGCTGTATCCATATCTACAGAGATCAGTTTCCTTTGGCAAGTAGTAAGAAGTACCCTTTAATGATGTTTAATGAGGTTGAAAGTGCTTGCGCTTTGTCACAATTTTTTTATAAATTGCTAGGCTCTTTCTGATATAACTAGAAATCCACTCAACTGTAATGATATCCCTGGAATCCTGGTGCTTTTAACTGGAAATCAATTGTATTGCTCACTTGCTTTAGAAACAAAACAACCCTACACCCCAAGTCTCTGCTGGGGTACAAGTTCCTATGAGGGATGAGAATTCAATATAATTTCAAAGAAAAAAAACATGAGTTTGGAGTCGAAACTGTGAAAATGATAGGTATTAGGTACTTCTGAACGAGAAGCAAACAAGTGCAGCTTGGGGTTTTCTATTAAAAACAAATGAAAAAAAATCCTACTGTATGTGTTTACCCAACCTTGTAATAAAAAGTCATGATACACTGCTTCTCCTGATCATAGCAAAGGTGTTTATATAGCGAAATGAATTTGATTATAATATTTATGTGGAAGCTGTGTGTAATAGACATATTTTTTTATTCAACAGGCGATCAGCTGTAAAGGTCAGCACAGTATCTCCTACACATTATCCAGAAACCAGACTGTTGTAGTGGAGTATACTCATGATAAAGATACAGACATGTTTCAGGTAAGACTCTATGCCATATATACATTGTTTTTGAAAAGCAACATATGGAACCATGGATCTGTGTCTGGACAGGCTGGATTGTTGTGTATTCTTTTTGGGTCCATGAATTAACACAAAAATTGACCCACCCCACCCTGCAGTTAATGAAGTAGCTGGAATAAAATGGAAGTGGATAGGAGTTAGGACATGGAATAGGGAAGGAGGAAGGTAAAAGCAAAGGTGGGGAGGGAAATATGGGAGCTGTGCACTAAAGGAGACAGACTGATAATGGAATCATAAAGAAAACCATTCCTGAAGTGTGTGCAAATACATCAAATGGTATAGGGGACTGCACTGAGTTTCTTTAAGTTACCTTCTATCCAGCGTATTTTCACTCTCTCATATGTGCATTTGCATTTTTCTGCATTATCTAACAGTCTGGTAACCTATGTTACTTTCTTGTGCAATGCTTATTTTTATATATAATAGAGCAGAAATTCTGTAGAAGCTTAAACCTCAAGCTCAGAGGAAAACAAATACGCACAACCTCTTCCAATCTAGACTAATTGGGTCTGTCTTGTCAGTGACCTCTGTAATTAGAGCATCTTATCATGAATTGTTATCCCTCCTCATTCAGTCGTTCATATTTAGAAGGGTCAGCAGTTGAGTGTTGTTGACAGAAGAGGAAATGGCTCTGTCAAGATGAAAGTGTTTTTGCTTTATATGGCTTCTGTGTTTTTGCTCTCCATAAAAAAATTTTCCTAGTGTGACTTTGGAACAATTAGCTCCAAATAGGGATTGATCAAAAGATGTTGTTCATGTGGTGCTGCATGAATAGGTTTTTAGAAAAGGATCACGCAGCCAGAGTGAACTGAAATAGGTTTTTCAATGTTAGAATCATAGAATGGTTTGGGTTGGAAGGGACATGGGCAGGGACACCTCCCACCAGACCAGGTTGCCCAAAGCCCCCTCCAACCTGGCTGGGGGGGTGAGGAGGAAAGTGATGAAGAGCCCCAGGTGAGGAGATAGAGCATGGACAAAGCAGTGATCCACAGACTGCAGTTCGAAGGCAGTAGGTTAAGGCAGCTAATTAAGGATGCTTTGGATCTAAACCGGAGTTTTGGCTGAATGAAGAATGAGCTGATTAAGCATAGTGCAGCCCAGCTAACGACGTGCCTTCCCCTGCTCCCCTTTGATGCTCAGCAGAGGAAGAATTTGCACTGGGCTGTGCACTGAGACAGCCTACGCTGCGCTGCCTGACCCAGGGACCTGCTGTGCTTCCCTGGCTGGTGCTGGAGTGCACATCTCCTGCTGCCACTTAATTAACTGCCCATCTTAATAAAACTTTTTTGGAGCTGAATCTCGTGTTGGTAGAGTGTCTCAGTCCTTCTGGTGTCCCCTCAAATGTCTGAAGTGTCAGGGTTAAGGCTTGCGTATTGCTAAAATTCCTCTTTTCGGTGCAGTTGGTTTCTTCTGCCTTGAGATGTGCAGACTGTCACGCTGTGACTTGCTCTCAACTTCACCTCAAGCATTGTCTCCTGGTTCATGTTTCCGCTCTCTGTAGCTGTCTTCTGAGAATGGCACTGCAAGCATTGGCCTAGAGGGGCTGACAGCTGTGAGAATGAGAAAGGGAATGGTCTGTTTGTATTTTGCTTCTAAAGCAATGCCGTGTAGCTGCCGAAGAGACTTCCATTATTTAGATAAGCCATTAAATTTTAATTATTCTCAGTAATCTTATTGCAGGCAGTCAGAGAAAAGTTACTTGAGGGGCTGTTTTGTGTTGCTCTGTGGTACATGATAAAAAATTCCATGTTGGCTTTGTAGATCCGTGGAGTAAAACCTTACTGCTGATCAAGCATCACTTGGATAGACAGTCCTTGGAGTTTGCTGTTTTATTCTCAATTGTGTTTTCCTGGCTTTTGGTGAAAATGTGGAAGCTGAAAAGGGAAGGATAACACCCAGACCACAGGATTATTTTATGGCTTGTGGTCCCTTCTTGGCTGCTGATAACATGTATTATCTTGGGCAAATCACTTTATTTATTTTTTTAATCTCAATCTTCCCCGATGTAAAATGGGAGAGTAGCACTCACTGCACAGCTTCCCTAAGGCAGCCCTAGTAAGGAGTGTGATAAGCTTAGGATGATGTTTGTTAGTACCACCTTAGTCACTAGGAACTGAAATAAAGAAAGGGGAGGGCAGAGTTCTTGCTTTGTTTTCTTGGCCAGGGTGACATTTCTAACCTGTGAGGTCTGAATCCATTGGGGTAGCGCTGGTTTCCTGTGAAAGTGAGGGAGATCCACAGGTGACAAAAAGCTGTCACCTTTTTCCTCCTTCCACCCTTCCATGGGTGCTTTTGTCTTCCCGGCTTAACTTGTATCCTGCTCAGTCACATGGCAAACATCTCCTGCTAGGATCATCTTTAAAAAAAAAAAAAAAAAAAAGAAGAAAAAAAATTACTTCACAGCCTGCTTTGGAAGGTTGTCCTGGGCATCTCATGATTCTCTTATGTCCTGTACTTGGTTTAGGGAATAGTCTTTTTTTCTTTATTCCCACTGTACTTAGGGAACTATTGTTCTATTGTCTTGTATGTGGTTTTTACATGTAATTCTATAGTGAAATTTGTGTACAAAAGCTACTGTGTGCCTTTGTCTTAGTGACATCCAGATCGGGTTTCTTTATGTAATAACAAAGAGAATGTACTAACGTGTTCCACTGGGCATCTCCCAAAGTCAACATGCTGCTTAAAATGAAGATTTTCTTCAGAGTTTATTAACTGTTCTGTTGATGATATATCAGTTGGAGTAGAACCTGGTCCTTCAGTGTTTGATTAGATGAGAAGGGGTTGATTATACCTGTTTGTACCACTACGAGGAGCCAAAATGTGAAGGCAGCACCCTAAATAACTACCAAGTTTATACAAGAAGCAGGTACATTCAGTGTGGAAAAATTGATTATTTTTTCTGAAGAACCAGCCCTTCAGAAGACGCATGGTCCAATTCTCCCTGTCATCAGAGTGAAATTCTGTTGAAGTCTAAGAATCTGCAGCTGTTAAATTACCTGCTGGCAGGTTGTCTGGTTTTTGCCTTGTCTCAGGAGTGAGCGTTTTTAATAGCACTTCTTTGATTGACGGTAGACACTGGCAAATTGATTGACTGCCTGGCTTTTACACTGCTTTTAACAATAACCTGTAGTATAGACAACAGAAGCTGTCTTGTGCATCAGTTGGAAGATTTATGGTTTGTTATTGGGAGGTAGCTTAGTGAAATAATATAGAATATGACACAATTAACAAGAAGAGTCCCAAAATATAGCCCAAAATTGCTAAAAAGAAGGAAGTCTTCTGTGCTATAGAGGAAAATGGAAGAAAAATGAGTAATAAAGTCTATAAAGGGTAGCTTTGAACAGTGGAACTAGGTCTGTAGTGACTGTAGTCTGGCTGCAACATCAGAGGAGTTAAAATTTTTGGTGGGTAAATGTTGATAGCATAAAGTTCCTCACTTGTTCCTGAGTAGTTTTCTTTTCTGGTGATCACAAACCCAGAATTTTTAATTTATATGGGCCATGACGAGTCTGCCGTGTTTTAAAGGCTATTTCTTAAAATAATTTCTAGTATTGAAACGTAGCACAATAGGGGAAAAAAAGCCAACATCGAAAGAAAACCAAACACTTAAAATATTTGATGTTGTGTAGACATACTTGTGACACAAATGAGGCATGTTAATATATTATTTTGTTGCTTAAAATATTGCATGTAATTTCAGAGGTTCTAAAAAACACAAAAACTTTGTAGGTAGATTTCAATACTTATAGCCAAACATATTTAGATTTCATGTTGGCTGATTGGGAGGAAGACTGGGAGCAAACACTTGCATGTTTTGTCATCCTTTAAGGGCAAATAAGGCAAGTTTTTCCCTAATTGTATCTAAGAGCTTTGAGAGTGATCTATTTGAGAGACTCAACAGGCAGAAATTTATTATGAAGAAATTTATTACACGTTCATTATCGGTTATCCCTTAAACTGCATACAGATAGAGAAAGTCAGTGCTGACTGCTAGCAGGGCTTTTGTTGGGTGGGAAATAGAAGCTTGTTAGAAATAATACTGTAAAAGGAAGAAGAATATAGTTTTGTAGTTTTAACTTCAACTTGTCAAGTTATATAAATCAGAAATGTCCCATACTAAATAGTTTCCGAACTCTGTCTCTTGGGTATTCTAGTAGTCACTTTACTTTCTGTGAAAAATTGATGTGTATACTTTTGATTAGGCCTCTTTTTAGTATTTCCATGGTATTTCTTCTGTGGCAAGCTCATAGCGTTTTATACTCAAGTTGAGACTTGTGCTATGGAGAAAGTAACAGGATGTGTCACATGAGATATGAATTTCAGCATTTGTTTAACAAAGTAGAACTGAAAGCAGAAGAAAGAAGTATATGAAAGATCCCTGTATTGTTGCTATCACTTCAGTTGTGACAAAGGTTAAGTGTTAATAACACTGCTTTGCTTGACTCTTGACTAATGTTTCTTTACTGTTCAGGCAGGCACAGCAGATTTAGTTTGCAGAGATGTTTATTAATGATGGAACCCTACGTGTGTTCCCACAGTTGGCTTTGAAAAGCAAGAAGCAAAGCAGAATGTAACTTCTAGGGGGACAAGGAAATCTCATTTAGGGAGGAGGTTATTTTGTATAAATGTAGATTCCTGATATTGAAGGTAGTTTCATGTGAAGAATATTCTTAATTTTCTTCTCTTTGATCACAAGGTGTCTGTAAATTTAATATTCTGTTCCATTCCTTGTTCCTCAGCTCCACTTTCCCAGTTATGCTTGACACTAATTTACCTGTAGAAGTACTGATAAAGTCTCACTGTATGTTTAATTGGCAGTCAGATCCCTCTATCCATTTTGTAATGAAGTTTTTTGTTCCAGATGCCTAGATGTTTTCAGTTTTAGAATTAAAATGTATAGATGTCAAGATAGAAAAAATATTCCTATCTACTGATCAGCTGTGTTTTATTTCTGCCAAAGGAGGTTTTTTAATTTCTTTAGTCATGCACTGTGAATAGGAATAAGTTTAATCATATTTTGGGTTTTACCTGAAAACTCTTCTATTCTGGAACCTCAAATTCTGAAAACAAGAAGTTGAATAGCTTTTTGTTACGATGTATCAAAATAGCCAAGTTCTGGGTCTAAAAAAAGTCCTTTATTTTCGTGCCAAATTAACTTGGAACTAGAATTGTGAATAAAACTTGTCATTTCAAGCTAATGTTTTCTTAATTGACAGAATATAGTAGTAAGTAATGTACTGTGGTTGGATTCTGAAATAACAAGGTCATAATATTCTACCAAAACATATATATTCTACCAATTCATACAATATTCTAGCAAACAATTGCAGACGTTTTGGGCAAGCATGTACATCAGCAAAATCATGTCCTTAATGCTTGTTATTTCTGTGGCTCTTTCTAATTATATTATTGTTGTGTGTTTGGTTTTCTTTTTTTTCAGGTTGGGAGGTCAACAGAAAGCCCCATAGACTTTGTAGTAACAGATACCATTTCTGGAAGTCAAAATAATGACGAAACCCAGATTACGCAAAGCACCATATCCCGTTTTGCCTGCAGGATTGTTTGTGACAGGAGCCCACCCTACACAGCAAGGATTTTTGCAGCTGGATTTGATTCTTCTAAAAATATATTTCTTGGTGTAAGTCCTGCTAATAATTGTTATGTATGAGCAAACTCTGGTTTTATTTTCTGTTACTTTCAAGTCCCCAAATTCCCTTTTACTAGTTGATAACTTATACCATCATTAGACTTTTATTGCCGCAGTGTACCAGCTGCAGTGCTAAGTAGAAACTGCAGTTTTATGTGCCTGATTTATTACCATCATGGACTTGTGGTCATAATTGTCTTTAACAATGCAGTTCTACTTTAGTAACTGTTAGTGGATTCTCTTTAGGTTGGTTTAATAAATATTTGATACTCATTGCAAATAAGCTGCTGTTGTAGTTCAGAGCACTGAAGATCAAGGAGCACATCAGCTTCCTTATGGAAAAGGATTGCCCATTGCAATGGTGTTCCATTGTGGTGGTTAGGAGTATCCATGCTGCTGACCTGATGGCTTCAAGCTGGAGGGGAACAGATTTAGAGATTTGGAGATTAGGAGAGGGTTCTTCACTGTGAGGGTGGTGGAGCACTGGAACAGGTTGCCCAGGGAGGTGGTTGAGGCCCCATCTCTGGAGATATTCAAGGAGAGGCTCGACGAGGCCCTGGGCAACCTGGTCTAGTTGGGGGTGTCCCTGCTGACTGCGGGGAGGTCGGACTAGATGACCTTTGGAGGTCCCTTCCGGCCTGGGCAATTCTATGATTCTATGTTCTCTGAGACCTTAGCTGTTACCTGACCTATAGTCACAAGCACTCAACTGTGTTAAAAAAGAATAATATTTAAAATAGAATAGTAGTTAAAGCTGCATAAGCAAAATATGTTACCACTCTGGCAGAAGATATTCTTAAAATTTTGGAGGTTTTTTTTGTAAATCTGTGTCTAAGCACTGCTAGCTGGTGGGGAAATGTGTTTTAGACAGTGCTAATAAAACTTTGAGTAAAATTTGAGTCTATAAACTTTTAGACAAACCCTGTTTTTCCTGGGATGGTTGTCACACACAGGAAAAAGCAGCAAAATGGAAAAATCCCGATGGCCACATGGATGGATTGACAACTAACGGGGTGCTGGTCATGCATCCCAAAGGAGGCTTCACGGAGGAGTCCAAACCTGGAGTTTGGCGGGAGATCTCGGTCTGTGGTGATGTGTACACTCTCCGGGAGACCAGATCTGCTCAACAAAGGGGGAAATTGGTAAGTTGAAAGTAACTACTAGTTAAAACAAGGGATCCTAGTTTTCCTGGCATCGAAGGGAAGCGGTCATAGGGTGACTGCAGAGTAGTAACGTTGTCCCTACATAGTGGGCACTGAAATTATCCAAGTAGCTGTGTGTTATGGTAGATCTGCACTCTAGTCTGTTTCTGCTTACACAGGAGAACACTAAGTTTTCTGCTAATGTCACATTTCCAACTGAAACAGCATAGAGTGTTTATTTGGCTTTAACTTTGCTCTTGAATCTCCATCTCTGAAATGTTCTCCTGGGACATGGGGACATCTGGAAGTTAGTGTACAGGGAGCCATCTTTCGCAGGGCAATCTTAAGAGTCTACTCACATGCAAAACAAGTTTGGATAATGCAGTTTCTGTTTGATTTACCTACCACTAGAAAGAGGAGAGAAGCCCTGCAAAGTATATTCCTGTTTTATCCTGTGGAGCAGGATGGGCAAAAGCGAAAGGTTTCAGACCTGTGGCATACGTAACCCAGAGAGACATTCCCATGAAAGAATATGTCCACTTCTCAATAAAAGGTCGAACAGAATTCTCATCGTGTTCTTGTTCTTTACTCTTCCTAAGATCTGTGGGGCCTAGGAAGCAGATTGCTGTCATTGCTCATCTTTCTTTTTTATCCCCTGTCATCAAAGGGAGGGAAGTCAAACACCACCATATAGAAGTAGCCCAGCAAAATACACAACCATATTTTCAGTCAGGTAGATGAGCTTCCCCAGAAGTCCTTCTCATCTCTGGCAGGTTAGAACAGTCTCCTGCCTGCAGACCTGGAAAAACCTTTGTGGGTTATCGGTTCTATTCATCGTTAGGATTCAGGAGGTGAGAGGATGTTCAAGGGGCATCTTCACAGGAGCTGAAGGTGCCCTTTCTCTTCTGTAACTTTATTGTCCATCTGCTGGAGTTTAAAGACTGAGAAACTCTCCCTGCCATGCACACTATCTGCCTCTTCTTCATGCCAAAGTTGCTTTTGTGCTGCTGCCTTGAGTTTCCTGCAGCTTGATGAGGCGTTATAGGTATCCCACAGACTGGCACTGAACTGAGTTTCCAACTTTGCCATTAGCTTTGCAGAAAACTGACTGTTTAAAGGAGTTAGGAAAATGCAGTTTGAATATTTTGTTCTGCTTTCAGTAGGCAGCCCGCAGTACGTAAATTGCTTTGTCACTTTACTGGTGGCAGCAAACATCGCCCCGGGGAATGGGACAGATGATGTTGCAATTGCGCCCTTTGTACGCGGTTAGCAAGACACCTTCTTGGTGCTGCTGAAGAAAGGCAATGCTAAAACAAATAAATTCCCTTCTCTGCATCCAAAATGACTTGGGTTCTCATTTAAATAAAATTACATGGCACACTGGTATTGATGTGATCAGTATTCGTTGACTGGGTTCATAAAACCAAATGCACACTGTATAATGAATTGAACACGTTGCGTATGAGAGAGCTTTTGCCTTGCTGTTTGTGAAGGAATTATCTGAAAAGTGCATCAAATCAAGGCTTCTCTCGTCTCTACTGGAACTGCTGAATTTTTCTGCTGGAAGTACTTTACACTGGTGACCTTTTATCTGTATTGTGCCATCTGGGTGTTTTGTGCAAGGATGATCCACAGTTAATGTGTGAATTTAAACTGGATTAAAATGTAAATGCCAAATTGGTTGCCATTCATAGTATTCTTAGGCAGACATGAGGATTTCATGTGACCTACTTAATGTACAGGTTATTTGGTTTTGCCTTAGTGGTATTTTCTATGCACTTTCTATGTATAAAGCAAGTTAGCAGGTCTGTTTTCCTCTTTAATTTCATACAGAACCTTTTTAATACATATTTGTCACTACTGATCTGGTACCAATAGCACAAGCTGTTTATATGGTTGTGACATTAAAATAAAGAATACTTCAGCAAAGTACTACGTGTGTTTAGCATAATGCCTTGAAAATGCTTTAAGTACTTGCTTTTAGTCAGATGAGAGAAGCCTTTGGGCCATGCAGGTTGGGGCTGTATTTGCATGGAATGCCTCATTAAATAAAGAGCCTGACTAGTCCGGGTGGTTAATTGTTCAGAAGTTGAGCCTGTGTGACTTCAGTTGCAGAACTTGTCACTTGAGGAATTTGACTGGTAATTCACTCTGCTGTAATGATAAACTATGAAAGTACCTGTGCGTGTGTTGCATTTGTTATTTATCCCTAATATATCCGTGGACGAGTTTTTGCTGTTGGTGAGATACGCTGTGGGGGTTCATGCTTCTGCAAAAGGCTTTACACTTGCCACAAGCCAAAAAACAAAATGGTATCTGAGTAGCAGGCCAGCTGGTCTGTCCTGGGGAGCAGTTTTCAGTCCAAAAAAGCTCTTTTGCTGTGTGAGCAGCCTCTGCCCATCTACATGGGCAAAGGATTCCAGAAGAGCAATCTGCTAATACAGCCCTTCAGGAGTGGCAAGTTTCCTCTTCAGACTTGATAGAAAATTTCAGCAAATATTACCTTAAATATGACAGACATGCAGAGAATCAGCATTTGAGAGAAAAAACCAGGGTGCTCAGAGGTACAGGGTATTTGTGAAGAAGTTAGTGATTACAAATGGTAATACCTTTCCCAAAGAATTACAGGAAGGAAATCTGTGTATAATAATTAGTATTGCCATAGTGCGTAACAGTTGCAAATTTAGGACCTGCTGTACAAGCACAGAACAAGAGACCAACGCTCATTATAACCTTAAATATAGGATAAGAGGCAAGACATGGATTCAGAGAAATAGGTGACCACAAGGAAATGCTATGACAAAATGAAATGCTAGGGAGGGTAATGATTTGGTGAGAAAGATGGCACATTTACAGAACTAACTCAGTAGTCTGTAAAAGCTCTCGGGCTTAACTGCTTATCCTTGTCTTCTACCACTAGGTGGAAAATGAGACCAACGTCCTACAAGATGGCTCTCTCATTGACCTGTGTGGGGCCACCCTTCTGTGGAGAACGGCTGATGGACTGTTTCACACTCCGACTCAGAAACACATCGAAGCTCTGCGACAGGAGATAAACGCTGCCAGACCACAGTGTCCTGTTGGGTTAAACACTTTAGCATTTCCCAGCATCAACCGTAAAGATGTGGTGGAAGAGAAGCAGCCTTGGGCGTACCTCAGCTGCGGTCACGTTCATGGCTATCACAACTGGGGACATCGCAGTGACACAGAAGCCAACGAGCGGGAGTGTCCCATGTGCAGAACCATTGGCCCTTACGTGCCTCTCTGGCTTGGTTGCGAAGCGGGCTTTTACGTGGATGCTGGTCCTCCAACTCATGCTTTCACCCCTTGTGGACATGTGTGCTCTGAGAAATCTGCAAAATACTGGTCTCAAATCCCACTGCCTCACGGTACTCATGCATTTCATGCTGCCTGCCCTTTTTGTGCAACACAACTGTCTGGGGAGCACAACTGCATCAAGCTGATTTTTCAGGGTCCAATTGACTGATATCACTTTGCAATGACCACAATAACATTGTCTTTAACAATTTACTGTGAAGATTTTGCCACTAACTCTAGATTTTACCTTTTTTTATAATGTTATTAATAAGGTGGTAGGGTGGGGATGGGGAACTGAAGAGGAAATGGCGAGGGACTGTGGTGGAATTGGGATACATTGATACCTGGAACTTGACAGATATCAGTGGTGTTGCATGCTCAAAAGCAGCATATTCATGAAGTCTTCTTGGTCAAATTGTAGTATATTTGTAATCTTTTTATTAGTACCCTGGATCAGAAAAAGGTGTCTTAATGATTTTTTTAAGCTAAGATTTTTTAATGGAAAGGTTTTTTCTTCTAAACTTTGACAAGCCTTTAAAAACCTATTTTTCAAATCTAGAAGGAACATACAGAATGTAACTGTCTTTAATTTGCAATATAATTTAACTTGAATAGTTTCTCAAGGAGCTAATACAGAATGTGTGGACAACCATAGGTGAATGTTCACTAGAGATAATTGGATATGTAAGAGAAAAATTAGCTGCCTAAATTGTAGAGTATAAAAGCTATTAAAATATCTATTACGGTATAACACAGCTGGCCAAAAAGGCATCAAGGATTACTTGAAACTGAGGAAATCCTGTTTGCATTGATTTCCTTTCAATGTAATAGATATCCACTGTTCATTATGTATGGTATATGGCTGATTTATTTTTTTTCTTCTTTTTTTCCCCTGTTTAACCTGCATCTGGTGAAACTGCTTTACTCTTTCCATACTTAGTTCTGGTTTTTAAGCCAATGTTCTGTATATGCATAGTGTGGCCTTTTTATTTCTGCTTCAGTTAGCTTGCCCTAACTGCTCCTTGCATGCCCAGGAACCATTGGGTTAATTGAGATGTAGCAAGCCATTAAAAACTGTGTTAATGAAGGGGTAGTGCTGCAGCAAGACAGGAGGTTTAGGTACAACTTACACAGAACTCACTTACATAGCCCTGAATTCAGGAGAGCACTTAGTTTGTGTTTAAATATAAGCCCATGGATGGGACTGTTTAGATTCTCAAGTGCTTCAATGGATTGTGGTTATATGCTGTTATGTTTTGAAAGGAAAAAAGCAATTAAGTTATTTTTTTTAAGCTCCCTTACTAGCCAAAATGCTGTAAGGAGAGCATCGTTTCTAGTTCAGCTGAGTATTTTTGTTCAGTTTTCAACTTGCTGCCATCTGTCACCTTTTTTTGCAGATTGAAATGTGTTTGTATCTTTTTTTTTTTCAAATGTTTGCAAATCAAACAACATTCAAATGTAATCAAATATATGCACCAGGGTGGTACATCTGAAATGGATCACTTGAAATTCCTGACTTTTTTAAGAGAGCTGATAAATGTTTACTATGGAAATAATTAAATCAGAATTTCATATGAGATGTACCCCGCCCACTGTTAGTTTCATTTCATACAGAATGATAACTCTTTGATTTGTGGGTTTTTTTTCTTTTGCTTTCTGTACTCTTGGTATCTGAGGTATCAATCTATCCAGGTTTAAAAAAAAAAAATAGAATTTGGGAGAAAATTATAACATCTCCAGATGAAATTGATCATTCAAGCTCAGTTCTGTTTAATCAACTATAGCTTTTTGCTATACTTGTGCCCTTTGTAAAAATATATAATTTATATGATTTTAATATATTCTGTATATATACTTGAATTGGCCTGTTCATATTTTGGTTGTAAAATTGTTTTATAGTTAACCTTATAAACATTTTACATGTCCCTTGCCAATGGTGATGGGATGTACTTTGTCTGCTGCTGTTTTTAATATAATTTTGCTGTATAAATGTTCAGCATTTTAATAATTTGAAAATAGCTTTACTTTTCTTTTTACGCTTTTGCTGTTTAAAAAAAAAAAAAATTCTTTTTTCTGCAGCATTTTCTCTAAAAGATCCCAAACTGTCCAGGTTTTGTCCTACTCAGTGATTGGAAATAGGATGACTCTCGTTAACCTAAAACTATATATGCTTCTTCCTAGTGCCTTTTCAATGAGATCCTCTTGTGATTCCATATTCCGAGTCCTTACTCCCACAAGACAACCTTGTGGCTGATCTTCATCAAGAGTGGCAGCCCAACCAGGCAGGGGAGAAATGCCTTTGGCCTTGGATTCCTTGTCACGGTTTCTGTCATAAATGTGAAGGTGCCTCTTCCTTTATCGATATTCAGTACAAGTTCCTCAGGTCCCACATGCATCCTGCAGCATTATTTCTCTTTAGCATATACCTCATCTGCCAGAGGCAGGCTCACCTCCACGTCCTCCTCACTGGACTCCGTGAAATACTTTAATCTCTCACAAGAGATGCTGTGAAAACACGCTTTTGGGAAATGTTCCTTGTTGAATTAAGGCCTGTGTTAATACTTGTGCTCCGTGTACGACAGTTTTGGGGGTCTGGGGTGGCAACTGTGTTTCTGAGCCGGGCTGGTCAGGACTTGTGTGCCTCGTCGTTCTCTGAGCATGAACAGATTGGGGATGTACAGGTTGGCAGGCACCTCCATGATCGAGCTGCTTTGCTTTCTTCCTTCACCCTTGCAGTTTCACTGCTGCTTCAGGGCTTCGTGTAGAGCTGCACCCTGTGTAAAGTGAATGTTTGGCGTTGGGGGGATTCTCACTGGAAATATTAGTGCAACATCTGGTTGTGGTGTGTCTGGATTGCATGAAGGGGAAGACTGGCTAATGGTTTGTATCCAAGGGAAGCGTCCGTTGGAAAAGACTGTTCTCAGCGAGATATTTTTTTGTTTCTTTCTTTCACTGTTGGCAGTTCTGTATAACACAAGAAATACTGCAGGAAGGAAAACTCCTCTCTGGGATTGGAAAAGACTGTTCTCAGCAAGATTTTTGTTTGTTTGTTTCTTTCTTTCACTGTTGGCAATTCTGTATAACACAAGGAATACTGCAGGAAGGAAAACTCCTCTCTGGGAAATAAACTTCCACAGTTCCTTTGCATAAATCCAGGTACTTTGCCATTAACCACTATTGAAATCTGCCCCGCAGAGCTGGATTTACTGGGAAGGCAGGAGGGTTTGTAGCATTTCTTTTCCTCAAGTGCTGCTGCCACATGTGCTGCTCCGACCAAATGAGGGACCATTTGGCTGTTTAGCCCTTTTCTCCTTCCCTCCTCTCAGCAAACACACACCTTGGCTGGTCTGGAAACTCAACAGGAGAAAGGTGTTTCTGGATAAATCAGACCGGTTCTGTGTGGAGTGAGGAAACTCAAGAACCAGCCTCAAACTTTGTTTTCAAAGTTTATTTCATGATTTCAGTGTTATGCTATTTCTTGCATACCATTTCAGATGCTGGCAATGTATTCTATAAGGATTTTTTTTTTTCCACCTGTTAACTGTTGATTCTATTTGAATGCTTCAAAACCAGCTTTGACTGCATAACTTATAGCTGAAAGTATTTTTCTAGTCTGATCTTCAAAAAAAAAAACAACCCACAAACTGTCATATCCATGCATGCTTGAGCTGTAATGCTTTCCTTTTTCCTGGCAGCTTTTTGATAGAGTGCTGAAGTCTAAATAGACGACTGAGCAGTAAGTGTTGGTCTTATTTTGAGTCGTGGTCCAAGTTGTACAAGGGAGTTAGCATGATACTGCATTTTAGTCACAGATTTTTTTCCAAGTGTGGTCACTCTATGCCTCAGGGTACAGTAACAGTACTGTACTGGCAGAGTAATTAAAGAAAAATTATTTTTTTTTCCTTTCTGAGGGTGGGAGTGGGGCTCAGAAGAGACAAAAGCTGTAGTAGGGCTGGTTCCAGTAGGGACCAAACCACCTTGAAGCCAAAGGCGTGCCAGGACCTGATCAGAGATGTGATCGTAGCTGTTCCTGCTTTCACACCTGGGTCATGCCCTTAAAAGGATTCCCTTTGATTCATTAAAAGCTCTGGGATGGCATGGAAAGGCTGTGATCTTCCCAACAAAACACTATGGTGTTTTAGTGGCAATTCCTGGAATTTGAGGGTTCTGCTTCAGAGCTTGAGCGAGGAGCAGAGGTACAGGCTGTATCCTAGTGAGAAGCTGCGGTAGTCTCTGAAGGGAACTTATTTATTCTTTAACCCCACACACCACCCACAAGAAAGTGTTGGTTCTAACTGTGGTCACTCTCCTTCTAGTGCTGTTGAAGCCACTGATCACTTTTCTCGCTGTTTCTGTCACTTTTCTGGAAGGGGAAGGAAGCTTCTCTAAGACCGTCCTGTTTCTCTTCATCCAGCTCATAGTCTTGATGCTTTTCTGGGGTCGGAGGACTGTTGGCAGCGATTGGCCATCATGAGACCCAACAGAGGCATTTTTAATGTGGTAGGACAACTGACCTGGTTTGCTTCCTCCTCTTTCTTAAGTGCTTTAAATACGCTTTTGAAACCAGCTGTGCTTGTCTGCTCTATGTTAAGAGGAAGGCTCCATCACGGGTGGTTGAGTCTTGTTTTCCCTGAGACTTGTCAACATGCTGCGTTGGATGCCCAGTGGAATCACCTTGTTGATGGGAACAAGGAGGAACACACATCTTTTAGGTGCTTGAGCTGAGTAGGTGTGGACAACCCAGCTATTCTGCACTGTTCTGGGCAAGGATTCCTCCTCCTCCTCCTCCTCCTCTGTTCAGTTTTCAGCCTCTTGCAAGTTCTTGGCTCGTCTCACTTTCTATTTATCCATGTAGTTGCAGGTAAACAAATAAATACAGCTTGGAAAGAAAAACAAGGAAGAGAATTAAAAAGATACCTTTGGGCTTGCTTATCTCTTCAAGGAAAATAGAAATTGGAGTTGCAAATGTCTGTTACAGATTGTTCTCATTATTCTGATTTATTTTTTTTTTTATAAGCACTCTTCACAAGTCTCCACGCTTGGTGGTGTGAATTAAAAGGAAAAACTTAGAAGGTAAGGCTGTTTTTTTGGGGGGGTGGGGGGTGGCGGGGGGGGAGTCTCTAGGATGAAGTCAGTTGCAAATGTCTGTTACAGATTGTTCTCATTATTCTGATTTATTTTTTTTTTTATAAGCACTCTTCACAAGTCTCCACGCTTGGTGGTGTGAATTAAAAGGAAAAACTTAGAAGGTAAGGCTGTTTTTTTGGGGGGGTGGGGGGTGGCGGGGGGGTAGTCTCTAGGATGAAGTCACAGTAGTTCTGCAGGCCCCGTGCAGACCTCCTCCCGTTGACCACAGCAGATGCTTCGCTCTTGAAACAACAGTAGAGTTGTCCTCGGTGGGTGGCAAAGACTGAGTTTTGCTGTTGGTGTTGATCAATCTTTATTCAAAACAAAAATATGAGTTTCTTGGACAAGCAAAACCAGATGGAACTGGTGGCTGCTGAGATTGCTTTATAAGGGGGCGTAAGGACACCTTCCCAGTGGGTCAAGCCAATCTCCAAGTCACCGGGAAGTCCCTTCTGGTTGTGTCACGGTGATTAGGGATGGGTGTTGCTTTCCTCCCAAATTAAAGACGGGATGGAGGGAGCCCCTGGAAGGCTCCTTCTGGTGGCACAAGTGTAGGAACGAAGGAGACTTCGTTCACACAGCCAGCCCTTAACGATGGAGAAGTGATGTTTGCCTTCAAATGGCGTTAGCAGCTGTTTAAAAACATATATTTGTAAAATTGGTCTTTTATACACCGTGTGAAATGGACTGAAATAATCTCTTTGTTGTTGTACCTGTGGAAGTACAAGCCATTTTACAGGGCGGGGGGGGGGAAACCTTAAAGAATTAGAATATCTCAGTATTGTCACTGACTTTTCGGTCTGTTTCCCTGCTGGTTGGCTGTCAGGGTTTAACTTTGATTTGCAAAAACTTCTAAATAACTTGAAAAAAATAAACAGTTTCTCTTACTCTTTTATCCCCTTTCTTCTACTCCTCAGCAAACAAAAGCCTTTGAAGGATTCGTACGCGTTGAAGGTAGTGGAGTGCATTCAGGTGTGAGTGCCCTGAAATTTCAGTTAATTCACTTCCCTGGTTTTTAAATGGAACTGTTTGTTTTCAATGCCAACTGCCTTCTTGCGGTGTTAACGTAATTGCTAAATAAAAGCAATTTCCAGGAATAATACGCTTTGTGACTCTTAAAATTAATTTCCATAATGGTAATTCAGCGGTTTGTGTTTCCATCTGGGGGTTCATCCCTTTTTGTGCCGTCCCTGGGAGTGCATAAGCTTTTTTTTTTAATATAAAAATGAGCTAAAAATGAATTGTCTGCCCTTTTTAAGTAGAAAAAAGAAGCGTTGGCGTGAGCACAGGGAAGGGAAATAAGGATATCTGCAAAATTCTGGGGATGTTGTCTGCCAGCTGGCTGTCAGGCTGCCATGTTTCTGAAGAGCACTAAATACTTCCCAGGGAAGATGCTCCCAGAAGAAGGGGAGAAGTTTTGGGTTGGTTGTGTGTAACCATGTCTGGCTCTTGATAGATTAAAATCTCTTCCCTCTGGGACCGTCGCTCTCTGCGTTGGGGAGAAAAACTTCATTTCAAGCCGTCTTAAATGTGCTCGAAGCGGGTGGTCAAGCTGGTCTCTGCCCTGGTGGGCTCTGGAATTAGGGATTCTGGGCTGGAGGAGAAGCAGTGCTGGGGTGAAGAGCAGCTGCTCGTGCCTGAGCAACGATGGGGGAGATCCTGGTGTGTTTATAGCAGTTGGAGGCAACCTAAGGGAAGTCCTTCTACTGAGGACATTGGTGGGGAGAGGTTTTTGCTGGTTCTTACAGGGCAGGAATGGGGGCTGAGAAAGGAACAGGGAAGCACTTGGGGCTGAGGCAGTTGGTGGTTTCTCTCTCCTCTGAGGGAAGTGTTGCAGCTCAGATCCAAAAGTACTCCTCAGTG